TATACATGTATATATATGTATATTTAGAATTTAATGAAGGTAGGAACATCAAATTAAATGACATTACACTATATACCCCCCCCTCCCCCTTTTTCCCCATTAAAAACATTGATAGAAAAACAACACATCAGAAAAATAACAAGAAAGAAAAAAATACACACTAACAAAATAAAACACCACAAAGAGGGAATAATACAAGTAACTACGTATTCAACAAATCAGCGTGGTGACAACAAGTGAGAAAGAGACGAAGTGAAGCTAGGTGAACTTTCTTTCAAAAGTAAAGAGGTTCGGTTTCTTTCTTTTTAAAAAAAATTGACTTTCATCCTCCGATTTGGGGACCAAAAAATGCCAAAAAATCGAGTCACGATTGATTGGTCGCAGCCGCAACAAACGCAGATATCTATGCTAGTTCTATGTGTCGTTATCAATAACCCTCCATAGATCTAGACTAGACAGCACACGACCGAGTGAACACAACACATTAAGTTTAACTTAAGAGCAGCACCCTTCATAGGCAACACGTCATATCTGTAGGGAAAAACTGTTTGGAACTGTAGCGTTTCTTTATAAATAATTACTGCGGACATTTTTTGGACCGATTGAACCATGTTGTATACGAACAATCTTTGGTAGGCCTATACTATAATTATAGATCTATATGATATCCGAAATTTGCGGAAAGGATGTGATTTCAGAGTGTTCGGAGAAATAGTGCCTAGCTTTATTTTCCCGAACGTTCGGAGAAATAGTGCCTAGCTTTATTTTCCCGAACGTTCGGAGAAATAGTGCCGGCCTTTTCTTTTTTACATGAATGAGGCATGAGGCGGCTGGCATCAGATCGGCAGATGAGGTCTGACGAAAAATTTAAAAATTTCAGCTGGTGGAATATTGGAAACACTGATCTAGAATCTCAAAGGTCTAGATTAGATCTAGATCTAGATCTAGATTTTTAGATCTACTAAGACAGAACATGTAGGTAGTAGGCCTGTGGGCAGGCCTGTCGAGAGGGGGGGGGGGGGGGGGGCAGGGGGGGCCAAATGCCCGAGGACCCGGGGGTTTTGGGGGGCCCCCACACACCGGGGAAAAAGAGAGAGAAAAAAAGGGGGGGGAAGAGAGAGAGAGAGAGAGAGAGAGAGAGAGAGAGAGCGGTAGGGCGAGAGGGAGGAGGGAGAGAAGAGAGCCAAGCAATAACCCCTCTTGGGTTGAAAAAAAAAAAAGGGGGGGGTTTTTTGGCAAAATTGGTCACCTTTTTTTTTGGGGGGGTTATAAAAACCCAGGGAACCCCGGGGGCGCCCGGGGGGGGGGGGGGGGGGAGGGGCCCGAAGGTGATTGCTACCCCAGGGCCCGACCTGGCTCTCAACGGCCCTGCCTGTGGGCATACAGGCCTATTATTGTACGGATACCTGCAGCACTTCGTACAATTTTGTGAGTATAACGTTGTACGGATAACTAGACAGAGTTGTTCGCACAATTGTGGTACAATAGGCCAATTGTACGGATAACAAGACAGAAAAGCCTAAGAAAAGAAACGCATGAAAGAAGCTATGAGTCCCCCGTCCCCCATTTCATTCGACATCTTAGCTCCCTCACAAGGACTATTTATTGATTCTGAGTGTCCATCTAGCGTTGTGCGTGAACGCTACAGGACTAGGCCTACAGGCTACAGGGCATAAAATTAAGGCCAATTAACAGCATTTGGCTACAGCAAAACGTTCGTTAGGATAAATTGCTGCTATCCTGTGGAACAGATGCCACGCCGGGGTCAAGTGTCAAGTTGTCAAGTGACTAAACTTGAAAACAGCACATCACCAGCACTCAGTCAGCCTCGAGTCGATCGAATGTTTTCTTGGGAAAAAGGGGTGGACTGGCTTACTCTGTTACTGTGAACAAGAGCACATTCAGGCAAAAGTTTGCAATCGTTGTGCAATAGGGAACCACTGCAAGAAGTAGAATATCTAGAGTCAGAAACTTTGAAAAGACCGGCTCGGGCATTCCATTTCCACTCTTCCAGTTCCAGTCCCTCCGATCAAGATCAAGATAATACTTCTATTTCTATTGTTTGTTGTAGTTGTAGGCCTAAATCTAGATCTAATCTAGATCTAGATCTAATATATCTAGAATCTAGATTCTAGATCCAGTGATCTCATCCGAGCAACAGCACAACAATCGGCTTTCTGCAACTGTAATACAACAGTAACAGTGCCATCGCAATGGTAAGTGCATTACAAGTAAAGTAGTAAAGTAGGCCTTCTAAACATGATCTGATCTAAAGTATAGAGAGTCTAGAATCTAGATCTAGATCTAGATCTAGAATCTAGCTAGGATCTAGATCTAGTCTAGATATAGATCTAGTATCTAGGCCTGGATTTAGATTCTAGAGATATCTGGAAGATCTAGAGATATTAATCTAGATCTAGAATCTAGATTAGATCTAGAATCTAGATCTAGATTCTATTCTAGATGGATCTAAATCTATTGGCGGACTATTGGCATGATTTTAAAAGTGCAACAGAGGATGATAGGCTATCATTGTTTCGGGAGGAATTCCATAGGAGCGACCACTGCACTGCCACTGCCACTAATAAAATGAAACAGCTGAGAGTATAGAGTGTATAGAGATCTAGATTCTAGATTGAGATCTAGAGATCTAATCTAGAATTAGAGAAGCAATATTATAATAGATCTCACCATCTGATGGCTATAGTATAGATATATGGTTAATTAACATGTGCGGGGTACGGGTGAGATTAGTTCTCATAAATATTGTTTGGCCGGCACTGTTTCTCTGAACGTTCGGAAAAATAAAGCTGGGCACTATTTCTCCGAACGTTTGGGAAAGCTGGGCACTATTTCTCCGAACGTTTGGAAAAATAAAGAAAAATTTCTCAGAACGTTTGGGAAAGCTGGGCACTATTTCTCCAAACGTTCGGGAAAATAAAGCTGGCACTTTTCCTCCGAACACTCTGAAATCACCCTTTCCCGCAAATTTCGGATTATATATAATATAGATTTATAAAGATCTATATTTATATTAGATCTAGATCTAGGCCTACCAAAGATTTAGGTCCAAAATGTCCGCAGTAAACATTTATGGTAAATTTTTACTTTCACTCCCGCACACAGATGCACTGTTTCAGGGGTCAAACTGCTGTACTGTTTGCTGCAGATCACACATAAAGCCACTAAAACTGTCGCTTATCAATTATTTTCAAGACAATTTCAAATCTAACTGTAAAATATCAAATTATATGTAAAAACAGGGGGGCATGCCCCCCTGTAACCCCCCAGATTTTCTTTTACACCGGTGGGGCAGGCCCCCCTGGAACCCCCCGATTGGTCCTAAGCATGTCTATCTCGGTTAAAAACAATCAAATATTTCAAAAACTATTAATTTGCGACGGAAATGAAGTTGAAATTCGTGTTCAGCGCATCAATATTTAGTAGAAAATAGACAACTAGTAGCTGAGTGTGAGACGGGAGGGAAAGTAAAAAAATATCACATTTATTTATAAAAGAAATGCTACAGTTCCAAACAGTTTTTCGCTACTGATATGACGTGCCGCCTATGGAGGGTGCTGCTCTTAAACTTAATGTGTTGTGTTCACTCGTGTGCTGTCTAGATCTAGATCTAGACCTTTGGAGGGTTATTGAAAGAGACACATAGAACTACGTGTGTTTGTGGCGGCGGCGACCAATCAATCATGGCTCGATATTTTGGCATTTTTTGGTACCCGAATCGGGGAATAAAAGTCAAAGAAAAAAAAAAAGAAACCGAACCTCTTTAAAAAAAAAAAAAAAGTTCACTTAGCTTCAGTTCGTGTCTCTGTCTTACTTGTTGTCAACTCGTTGATTTGTTGAATACATTACAGTTAAACATACGATTTGTGTTGCTGTTCCTCTTTTATTTTTCCCTCTTTGTGGTGTTTTATTTTGTTGGTGTGTAATTTTTTTTCTTCTTTTTATTGTTCTGATGTGTTGTTTTTTAAATTAATTTTGTTGTTGTTGGGGAATGTTGTAAATATATATAGTGTAACGTCATTTAATTTGATGTTCCTACCTTCATTAGATTCTAAATATAATATGTACATGTATAGATTAAAATGTGTTATGTTAAAGAGCGTACCACCCAAACCGATAAATATGTTCTGACACAGGCAGGCCCCTTGTGTGTGATTCCATAATTTACAGCTTAATAATCCTGTACTTTTTTTTGAAACGCACATTTAGGGTTAAAACAGCCAATCTTCTTCGGACAGGTGGACACACGCCCTTAAATTTGTTAATTTTTGTGGGGGGCTGTTCTAATTTTGATTTCATTCTGTTGTGAAACCTTTCTTTTTCACGTTTTTACACTTATCTAAAAATCTCTAGACTAGCTCTTGAAAATTGAAATAGATCTAGAATCAAGACGCAAAAATTTGCTCCTTCCCAGACCTTGCAGAATGGCAGAATGAAAGTTGGCACCAAACTCTCGCAAATAGGCGAAAAATCATGAGATCGGAAGCCAGAAACCGTTCGGAGAAATAAAGATCGGCACTATTTCTACTTTCTGAGAAATAGTCACTTCGTTATTGTTTTTGATGGGAGTGGTTGCTCGTTACTGAAGCCATGCTCTGTTGTTTCAATGCTAAGCTAATCGCTTAAGTATTACTAAGTCGTAGTCGTAGGGAGGAATTCCATAAAGTGACCACTAGCCTCCTAAAATAGATCTATAGACTAGAGGGCTAGGTTAAGGCAAAGTAAGTTTAGGTCTCTTCTTTATGGAGGCCCCTATACTGTATATTTTTTGTTTATAGAGGTGTGGTTTCTCGTTACGGAGGTCCTACAGTCGGCAGTGCATGGCGTACACGGTTCTTCGATGAATATGATACGACTGCCCCCTTTTTCCTCGAAAATAATTCTTCTTTAACTTTTGCAGGGCAGGGTCAGGTTAGGTTGTGTGAGAGTTGGGTGTAGTCTGTATTATAGTTACAGGGATAGGCTTTCATCAGTATTCTTGCGCTAGGTAGGTTGAGAGAGCCGACTAGAGGGAGACAACAAAAAGGGTGTTGGTGGTCTGGGATTCGTTAGGAGCTGGTCCAATTCCCAGCACAGTAGTAGTTTACTTTTATTAAAGGCCGGCTCTATTTCTCCGAACGCTCGGGAAAATGAACTTGAACTTTATTTATCTGAAGGGTTTCCGTTTTTGAGATTTTTTTGTTATTTGTGAATTGAGTGGCCGGGCGCGCATGTGTGTGCGTGTGCGTGAGTGTGTGTGTATAAGGTGTGAACAGGGGGGGTGGGGGGGTGGAGGGATTTTTGTGTGATTTAGTTTTTACTTTAGGGGTGACTTTATGCAAAATAGGTTACTGCCAAAGTCAAGCAGTCATGTTTTCTTGCAGTACCTTTTGAAGGCATTTTCAAATGAAGTATAGTGCGGGAACGTTGCCCAGGCCCTGCCTCAATTGAAGCATATCTGAATATTCAGACGTCTAAAAATCTTTATAGAAATCGAATTCGATGCAAAAAATGCTTTCCCACTTCTCGCATAGAATGAAAGATGACACAGAACTTTCGCAAATAGATCTTTACAAAAAATCTCGAGAACGGAAACCGTTCGGAGAAATCGTGGTCAAGTTTATTTTCCCGAGCGTTCGGAGAAATAGTCACTTCATTTATTAAATTTCAAGCCTCTCTATCTATATAAGCCTAAATTTGTAATTTATAATTACTTGGATTACTTGGATCCAGAGCTAGAATCATAGCAGGCGGCACATGTCAATAGCTGCTCACCTCTCCTTTCCAGCCTCCACCTCAAGGTCTTCCTGCTAATTGTCTCCATGAGGAGCTGGTTTGATTATAATTGTTCATAGCCTATGAAGTTCGCTTCTGATGAAAAATCCATAAATCTGTCTCGATGTGGTGAAATCAGGCTCTCGTCAATTTTTGGGCAAGTAAAGTTATTGAGAATCATCTGAAAGCTTATTAATTTGCTTTCAATGAAAAAAATACCCATCTGCCTTCAATAAAAATCAAGATATTTCCGATTGAAGGAGGACCTGGTTTTCTGTGGTGAAATAGTGAGAAAATGGCCTTCAAAGTTTGGTAACTCCAATAGCTAAAGAGTCCTTGAAAACTGAAAAATTACATATTTTGTGCCTATCAACATTTTTCAGTAAACATGGATGTTGTATATAATATATGGAAGTAAAAGGAGTTGAACTCAAAAACGAAAATTCGAAAAAAATTGCCAAACTGGCAGGAAAAATGCCTGTTTCTCCGATTTCGTTATTTTGATGAGCACCTGATTTCACCAGGATGCCTCACAACTGTTTCATACGTGAAAATAAAATCTTGATATTTCAGACATACATGAAATGTAAGCTGTAGTCAAAATTGTCATAAATTACTCCTCGCACTATATTTCTAACCGTCTGTAAGTAAGCAAAGTAGACTTGAATCATAATATTCCAAGACGTATATTTGGCCTGCTGCTCTTTGCCATCTATAAGAACTTCGCTGTGAAACACACTCACCATTGGCGCCCAAATAAAGTGCTATACACCAGCCTGCCAGTGTCCCAATAGCTGAGATTGCATTCTTGATTTTGTTCCAAATTGAGTTTTTAAGTGGTGTACACCCTCGTGAATCGGGATTTTTAATTTTAGTGCAATGCACAAGTCTATGCTACAACACATGCCGAGCCTTTGGTTTGTTTTGGTGACACAGTTTAAAATCAAATTCAAAGTCATTTTCTTTTCTATTTATTTTTTTGGGGAAAGTGTTTTTTGGCGCTCGCAACTGCATTAAAAGGTCATATTGAGCGCACTGGACACAAAAAATATTTTAAGTTGGAAGGAAATTTTTAATTTTACCCAGGTGGCGACCGAAAGGTACTCTTATCGATTTTTAACCACCAAGGCATCTTTAAAGTGCGCAACTTGCTCAAGAGACCTCAGAGATTTTTTTCAACGTTGTCCGAGAAGGCAAGGTGTAGATCTTTCTGTCCATAAGATAAGGGGTGTAGCCGAAAGACAGCTATAAAAAGGAGCCAAGGAGTAGCAGTAGAAAGGCTGCAGAAAGAGTCAGGAGCACAGAGGATGGGGCAAAGGAGGTGAAGGGGTGGGGGCAGAAAGTGGAGACGAAAACAAATGACAGAACATTGTGATTGTTATAGAGATGGAAAGAAGGTGAAAGGAAACTATTTTAGAGAAGAAAATTTACCGTTGGTATC